ACTTTTATTATAAGATGAAAAAAAATTACTTACTTTTATTGAAAAAAATTGCTATAACCTTTCTTTTGTAAAGGGTAATCCCCAACAAAGAAATAACTATTTCAAGTACTACACAACGAATTCCTAAATAAAAGAAAATCCGTTTATCTTCCTTACCCCTGGTTTTTAGTTTAATAAGACTGACACTTACCTTTATGAAAAAATAAATAAATTAAAGAAAGTAAAAAAAATGATTGGCACATTAAATATACATTTTTTTTAATTAAAAAAAGGCTAGAAAGGGAAAGAAACCCGCCTCAATCGCGTTGAAAGCGGTAAAATAGGCGCGTTTCCCATCCGTTCTTTTCGTTTTATGTCGAGGAAATTCTTTTTATTTAAGATGTAATTTAATTGTTACCTTTTAAAACTCTGACCTCATATCAAGCACTAGCACAATAAAAAACGAATAGATAATTAATAAACAAAAAGTTGTGTACATTATATATATATATATATATACATATATATATAATGCAAAGTTGCCATTCACTTCTCCTTCTCCTGTTCGGCACACTAGCTTTAAGTACACTGCACTGTAAAATTGAAAAAAACACAAATGGTTGAAGAATAATATAAGGAATAATAAAACATATGGAGAATAATAATAAAAGGAAGTTTAGCAGAGAAAAATCTATATCGTGTCAGAGATTTTGACGAAAAAAAGAAAAACGAGTAATCCTTATGAAAAGGAAAGGACAAGAAGTATATAGGTGCTTTGAATTACTCTTCATCGTGAAATTTTTCGCGATGCTATCTCGTTACGGTTAATGTCACTCCCTTCTGACTAGGATATATAATATCCTGTAAGATTTCTTACACTTTTTTTTTACTCACTGCGTGGTATTAATATTATCTCCACACTTTCTTGTTGTTCATTACATCTATTCATATTTTGTCATTGTTTCTAATTCCCTGTATATCCTTTTTACATGTATCCTGGACTTTCTACACTGATTTGAATACTTTCCTCGCTTGAATTCGCGTTTTACGTATAGCCTTTTTTGATGAAATACTAAGAAAAAAAAGAACAAAAATAAGTATCACACAATTCAATGCACTTGATGGAGAAGGAAAGAGGAGAGAAAGTCGACTAAAGAATACATCAAAGTGGATCACCATTTGTGCATAATGTTTTCAGCTCCGATTAAATGGGTGAGCTTACACAGCAATATATAACCTAGCAAGTGAAGCAATTTAACATCCTTTTCATTTTTATCTTTACTAATTTATATCTTTTAGATGTTAAAAATTATCTATTAATTTTTTACTCCACGTTAAAAAGCACACCATCAATTGTGTAATCTCCCTTGAAGGTGTCGGTAGTGGATCGTTTTTTTCAGCATATTCTGCAAAGGTAACTTTCCTTTGGATGAAAGTTGCATCCTTTTTCGTTGGTTACACATATTTAACTCTGAGAAGCGCATCAAGAAAACAAAGGACATCAATAGGAACCTTTATATACTTCCTCACCACACGAAGGGGGGTGAATCCTCCTACACTTTTCCATTGAAAAGTATACAATAGAAACTACATAACTTTTTTAGCCCATGTGACTCATATGATATATCTTAGATTAACGTATTTCGATGAAATTTGATTTTCTGGTACCACCGAAAAGTGTATTAATAACGAAAACAAAGATATATCAGTAAGATTATCCAATCAGTATGGAATACCGCGGAGGTAAACTAAAGTTTCGAAAAAGTATATTATTGGACGATAGGGGCGAAAGCTTTGGAAGCTATTGGGGTATCAAATGGGACAACGATTTAAGAATAAAGAAGAGTTAAAGGTGTTAATTGTTTATATAACCCCTTACAACAAGTTCTTTGCATCTACATATGTGAATAGATGAGTGTTCACAATAGTTAGTTATGATATGGTCACTGCCCGTATATATGCATTAATAATATAAAATGCTACTAATGATTTCCCTTTTCTCCACCCGTTTTTCCTCATCAATATCCATATTTGTTCTCGCAAATGTGCTTTATTTTATTTAAAATAATCAAAACCACTTTACTGTTCTTTACCCTTACTCTGTAAAGCGGAAAAATATTTAAAATAATAAAACCGCAGCAGTTTGATCTTCTTTCTAGTGTAGACCTCTTATGTGAAAATAAAAAAGACGGAGACCACTTCATCGCTCTTGTATTAAAATCTTTCATGGGTCTTGCGAAGGCCTCGCTCCTTTTCCGAAGAGGGGCCAAATTCCTCTCCCCCTCTCACTTCCTTCCCCTTTCCCTCCTCTCTTCATCTTGGAATTTCCACTTAGGTTTACTTTTCACCGTTCCTTTCCTCATCAGCCTAATTCAAGGCCTGTTTTTCTCACCATGTTTTGTTGTAGGCGCCAAAAGGTTGTTGCTGGACGGAGTTGCGGTTCACAAAGTTCAGGGCCTTTGGATCCATTGGCGGGCGTCCTCCGGAAATCCCCTGGCTCCCCGGTATTGCCATCATGCGTGGATTATTAAAGTGCTGGGAAAGGGGCACCCCTCCGCCGATGCCACCACCCATATGGTGGGGAAGTTGGGCTTGCGGGACCCGCCCGGGCGGGCCGGCGCGGAGCTGCTGCCCCATCGCCCCCGACGCCGTAGAGCGGTAGTTGTAGGGCCGCTGTTGTGGTGGGAAGCCCCCGACGTTGCCGTAGAGGTCGTAGTTCTGGACAACGCCCATATCGGTAGTCCATCGTTCGTGGGACATCGGCGCGGCCCAGTCCTGGGGCTGGGGCTGCGGCCAGTCCTTCGAGACCCCGCTGTAGTCGGGAGCCCCGGCGTGGGTTCGCTTGGGCGGTACGTGGGCCGGCGGCGACGACGACGACGGCGGCATCGCCAGCGTCTGCGAAGGCGACTGCGTCGGCGAGAGTCGGATCTGCTGTTGTTGCTGTTGTTGTTGCTGTTGCAGTTGTTGTTGCTGTTGCAACTGCTGTTGCTGCAGCAGCTGCTGTTGTTGCTGCAACTGTTGCTGTTGCAGCTCCTCCTGCTGTTGCCGCAGCTGCCCTCGCTCCAGTTGCAGCTTCTCGCCCTCCTCCTTGAGCTGAAGGCGCAGCTTCACGAAGCCGGCCTCCTCCTCCTGCAGCCGCCCCCGCAGCTCCTCCAGCTCGCGGCGCTCGGTCAGGAGGCCCTGCCGCTCCCCGCGCAGCTCCTCCAGCGCCCCGGTGATGGTTTGGTGGGCCGCGGGGACCTTAAAGGTCACGTTGTGCGCGCGATTCTCCAGAACCCCGTCCGGGTACTCCGCGGCGAACTGCGGGCTGGGCTGGTGGAAGTGGAAATTGAGGTCGTCGTCCGTATCGGTGGCCCAGCTAAAGGGAACGCCCCCGGTAAGGCCCGCGGCGGGCGCCACCGCGGACGGCTCCCGCGGCGAGTCCGCGGCGAGGTCCCCCGTCGACTCCCCTTCTTCCTCCTCCACTTCCTCCTCCTCTACTTTCGGCGGGGGTGGGAGGTCCACAACAACCTCCGGGGGCGTCGAAGCCTCGGAGGGGATCGACGCGGCCCTTTCTGAGACCTTTTCCAAGGTCGGCCCGGCGTCTTTTTGCGGTTGGGAGGGCTCCGGCGCGGCAGCAGGCGCGGGGGCCGTCGCGGCCTCCACAAGAGTGCCATTTTTCACCGCCCCGGAGGACTTTCGCCCGG